TGCAGACCGGTTACACACCGCATTCAGGCCACTTATAGACCGGTCCAAATCCTATTCCGGACCGATGCCTGAACGCTTTCACATCAATTCACGTCCTGTACCAGGCAGGTTTCAGATTATTTACAGATCGGCAAAAGACCGCCTTCAAATCAGTCATAGGTCGGTTCCAGACTCCTTCCAGACCGCTAAAAACAAGTTCCAAAAGATTCCAAGATCTATTAGACATCCATTGCATGCTAATTGCATTCCGCTTTTAGATCAGTTATAGACCGATTCCAAAGCGGTTTCAGACCAGTTGAGGACCTGTTCCATACAGGTTTCTGACCATTTCCAGACCGTCAAAAGACCGCCTTCAAATCAGTCATAGGTCGGTTCCAGACGCCTTCCAGACCGCTAGAAAAACAAGTTCCAAAAGAGCCCAAGATCGATTACAGATACATTGCATGCCAATTGCAGACCGCTTTTAGATCAGTTGAGGTCCTGTTCCAGACAGGTTTCAGGCCATTTCCAGACAGGCGTTTAAATCACTCATAAACTGGCTTCACACTTTTGCAGGTCTGCCAAGGACGAGTTTCAAGCTTGTTAGAGACAGCTCCCAGATCCGTCATAGACTTGCTCAAGATTTGTTCCGAACAGGTTCCAGATATGCTTCCTATCATTTACAGACCAGTTAATGACCAGATAAGTCATAGACCATTTCGAGACTTCTAAAATGGTGCCAGATCGGTTCCAGACCAGTTTAAGATCACTTCCATGTCGGCTACAGACTGCTTCCAGACCAGTTTCATACCGATTTTAAACAGGTTTCCAACGATAGTCCGATCCAATTGACCCCAGCTCCGATGTTGGCTGAACCCCGTCCTGACAGCCAGCGAGTCAACACTCCAGCCCCCAGGCTCGAAGGAAGTAGGAAACCTGACATGTAAAACGCCGGATCGGAAAGTGTACTGTCTCTCAAGAAAGAGCTATCTTTTGATGGGTCTAGAAATGAGTTGTTGTGGCAGCAACTCGTAATGTGAGACAACCTTTTCTTTGTATACCAGTCATCTGACTTCTTTTTCGTATTAGAGTAGGGTTTCGAGACTACCAGTAAATCAGTGTAATGAGATG